TTTTTCGATTAAAACCTCTTAGAAAACCTTGAAGTGATATAAATTATCGCGTTTATTATTTCTTACTAGGAATGCGTTCTGTCACCCGTCATCTTTTATCGATGATCATTAATGGTTGTCTTATGCCAGATGCACTCATGTATGACTGCGCCTGCGCATTAAAACTTCATTGGAATAAATGGTTAGGCAGCGAAATGCTAAAGACATCAACAAGAACACAACAGCTTCCAACTCATCTTGCTCTCGATAACTTTCATCAAAAAACACATTCAAGATCAATGTGCCAAACCATTATGAAATCCGATCATCCATCACATGAAGGACGATTTGTTGGATTAAATAGTCAAGCAGCTGAACAAGCATTTCAATATATATCTCGTGCCAAATTTGCATTACGAAATTTTTCATTTCCACATTCGACAATAATGTTATTGATTATGTTGCATCTTTTGAATTGCAAAATGACCGGCATCAATTCGGAAACAATTGGTGTGGGATTTCAATATTTTGGTGATATAATCAAGGATTTTTTCCCTACACCATGCATATATGAACGCTTTGGTGCATTGAATGGTGAAGAATTAAATAATGATGAAGATGACGATCAGTCAGATCTAGATCATAATGTTACATCTGAAGATATAACATAGTTTTGTTCACATTATTTCTTCACTAAATGTCCTATTGAACATCTGAAAATTGTACTCTTGTTATAAATATAATTTCATATATACATTGTTTTCTTCCTGACGTTTCATTCTTTATTTGTTATCTAGAAATCGAAAATAAATAATTTGTTTGAACTGATTTATTTGTTTGTTGATGAATTTTGTTTAATGCATTATAATGCATTATCATAGGAATTGTGTTACTAATATCCATTGATTATATTTCAATACTTTCCCATTACCTAACAGAACTATCACACTCTCTTTTATCTATATATTACGATATTAGATAATATAATATCGTATGATAAAATGTACATAAAGAAATTTTTTTCTCAATGACACATTGATTCTTGATCATGTTAGTTCTTCACTATACTACTAATAAAGAGAAAAAGAATTTTAAGATCGATATTTTTCATTTTTTCTAAAACAAAAATAATAACAAGAACATTTACGAAATCGATTTTCGATGAATTTGTTTTTGTTTATAATGATAATTGAATATCAAACATTTTCCAATTTGATTTTATTGTTAATTTTAATGGAAATCAAATTTCTTTTTCATGAAATATTTGAACATTTTCATTAAATGTTATTATTTCAACAATTACATTAATCATTCAACTTTCTCAAACATTCATTTTAATTTACGTTAAACATTCATTTCTTTTGGAAATCTTTATTTTATCATTTCGATTATCAATTCAAATCGGTTGATTTTTCCATTGAATTCTATGACTAAGCAGAACTAAAACGACAGAATTTCATCTAAATTAAAAATTCGATCGATTTTGGTAGCACTATCAATTACTATTTCTTTAAGTTTGGAATTTAATTTAATTTAATTGTCATTTGAATTTCAACATCCTGTTTGTTTTACATCCTATCAAAGAAATTTTCTTCATATGAAGAATTATTTTAAATAATTAAAATTTGTTTTAATCATCATCAAAAAATATATTTACAAATGATAAATTAATGAATTGTAAAATAAAATATCTAACTGCTTTTTAAAATTTTTTCCAACAAACAATATGTGAATAATTTTTATTTATATTTGATAAAAACAAAAAAGATGAAGATTTATCTTTGTTATTTATCTTGAGAAAATTTCAGCTAAAAGAAATTAAGTATTTTCAATAAGAAAAATGTTTGAAATAAAATCAAATATTTTTTTCATTTAATATTTCGCATTGTTGTAAAATAATGTACGAATATTTAATACAAATGCGATTTTTTTCCGTCAAAAAATGACATAAAAAAGATCAATTAATTATAAAAGCCATATTCGTGATTGTGAGAAAAATAAGTAATTAATTCAATAACTTACGACTAATCTTAACACAAGAATAAATATAATACAAAAAATTAATTCCTTAGAAAGAACTATTATCTCATTTCAGAATAAGCAAATCAATAAAATCATTATTCACTTCAGATTTTTTACTTCTCTTTTACCACTATATAGTTAACACAAGTAACGCTCGTCTGTGTGACTCGCTTAACCCTCGACTGAATGT